GCCCCCCCCCCCCCCCCATCGAAGTGTAGCATGTCACACTTATCCCCCATAAATTTTATTTTTGTTTCTACTCTTTTGCTATCCTTCCAAATCTCTCTCTTTCAGGTTTCAGAGGGTTTATACAATCTTTGCTACTCTTGAATCAGTGACACTAAACTTTGACATTAAAGTCAAGCTTCAGTGTTGTCCCATTTACATTTAATTAATGGAGGTCTGAGAAAGATACTAAAAATTCGTGTCTTAAAGGTTCCTTGCAGTATAAATTAAATTTCTTGTGGCAACCAGTTTTGAGGGATATGCGTTTGTCGTATGTTGACAGCCTTGAGACAAGGACGAAGCCCTTCCGATTTCTTCAGTGAAAGTGAGTAATTATCAGGATGAGCACGGCGGCGCTGGGTTTGCATCACAGTGGCACACAGTAACACGAGGAATGTCAGCAGTGGCTTTCGGTTTGGTTCAGAGATTATTTCTGTTACCTTTGCATGAAATTAATAAAGTGAGTACGTAGTGGGGAGATAAATCCTAGCGTCTGTCCGTCCAAAACCATGGAATGAATAATTTAAAGTTGCCGGATGAATTTAATTTTGGTTCGTGCCCATAGGAACCTGCGACATAATTAAGATCTACAGGTTTCAATTCAAGCATTTATCGATATGATGTATCTATGTATTTAGCGAAATGTAAATATTATTACTTTGAGTTAGTAATTTGTCTGTGCCACAAGAGTAGAACCCACGGCGAAGAACACTAAATGAAATCATTTAATTTTTGCCGTTAGCCTATTCCTGAAATCCTGCTCCGAAAATGTATATTGAATTCGAGGTAAAAGTGCGTAGTCTGCCATTGTGTTACAGCTCATTTCTTTGAAGTCCGCAGACACTGCATGGATATTTTCGAAGATGGCTATCTACTGGGTTGTAGCGCCGTCTAGTCTTGTAGGAGTCAGGCGATCGCCCTGATGATGGAGGCAAGAAGGGCCTCTGAAACGTTGGTGAAGATCTACACGGCGCTACAACCCAAGAGACAGCTATCTTTTTACTCACTACCGTAAGAACCTCAGATCCTACATGGATACTTGTGTTTCAAAATAGATTGAATTTCCAGCGTCAATTATAATTACTAATATAGGCAATTAAAAAGACAATTTAAGAACTATATGTATGGATTATTTATATAACGGCGCTTCACCAACTATAGGGATTGTTTAATGTCGAACTGTATGGGAGAGAAGGAGGTCCCAGGTTCAAAATTCAGGCCGGTGATCGGGTATATTGACTGAGAATTTTCGTGGTTTTACGGAGTACTTCTAGACAGGTACTGGGATTGTACATCAAATTAGGTCATGATCGTTTATTCCACACGAGTTCCTCATCATTATTTGATAATTATGATGTCAGTGGACGCTATACAATTTGAGGAATCACAGCTCTGTCAAATAAACCTTAAGTAAATAAAAAGGCAAGATGGGGTGTAGTGAAATTTGAAGGATTTTAGTGGAAGCCATCATGGCCTATTACAGTATATAGACATTCGCCTGGAGGGACTGAGGAAAACTACGGACGCCTGTCAGGACAGTTTACGTCTCGACAGAGATTGGAACTGGGTACCTCCAGAATTTAAGAGTTGCTGAGACTCCTTGGACGGGGAATCAGTCCATCACATGGCCCCGCAACTACACAGAACAATAGAATTCAAAACGGTAAATCACGGGCCTTTGGCCATGTACCGAGTGGAATTTGAATCGGCGATAGCAAAGTTCGCTTTTACTGATATTGTAGGAAGATGTTTGTATCTTCCTGTTACCGCATTCTGTTAATTATATATATATATATATATATGCTCCTTGACACTAAACTTTATTTTTGCGGTACATGCCTCGTTTATGATATATAACTTTCACTGCAAATTTTATATTATATTATCAACAACAAGTTACCGATGTAACAAAATAATAAAAGCGTTATTCTGTATCAAAATCTCTGATGATGATTCTGGTGTCTTTACCTGGTGGTCACTAGTGCAAGCCGCCACTGGTAAATTAAAGAAGTCTGTGTCTGGAATGTTTTAAATCTCCAACATTGGGTGGGGAGAAGGCAGATGACCATGTGAGACCGTACATGAACGGGGGAACTTATATGTTAATTTCAGTTGAACAGGTGTGGATGTGATGTGAAGTGGCCAACTCTCCAACATGAGGAGTGTAGTTTTCTTGATCGGTGAGTTTTAATTAGGACAAAGACACAAATGAACACACAATAAGGAGGATATCGCCTCCGTCTATCTTCCCCGCATGTTTTATCTCCGGAACTACTAAACGGATTTTGATAAAATTTTATATAGCAATTAGATATTTTTCATATCGGATCAATATACCTTCTATATTATAAGTACTTACAATACAACTTAATAAACGTTCTAAAAAGTTGTTCGTTGCGTAAAAAAGTTACTCATGAAATATTATTTGATATGATACATTTTTTAAAAAAAAATCAGAAGTAATTTCTGCTTGTGGAAACTTGTAGTACGGACGTACGTGTGTGTAGTGCAATGATGTTCATAACATTAGATACATAAATGAACTTGAAGCCTAACATGACGTGCGAAGAAACCAAAAATGCATTTGAAAAGTATGTTACACAATTTACTTCGCAGAACGTACGTTTCTGGTCTCTTGTGTTCAGCCTACTGACTAGCAAAAATAAGTTCTCGTGGGGGCTCCAAAGTAATTTGTGAATCGAGGCAATGTCGCGGTACTCTATTCATATCCCGGCCAGATTGATCTTGTCTTGAAATTTTTCGTGATTTTCCTTCGTCTATCGAAGTGTGTGCAGCAATGATGCCTCCAAACAGACTGGGTCCGTTCATTTTTAGTTTCAAGCCTCTTCACTCACAGCCGTTTCACAGCTTGTTTTACGATATGTAAGCTTGACGTCTTCAGTATAAAAAGTGTTATTACATAATCATAGCAATTTCATAATTTTTCTCGATACAGTAAGCCAGCTTATAATTTGTTTTTACTCGTTATTTTACACAATTGACAGATCCGTCACTAGACTGAGATACGGCAGCGTAAAGAACATGTGAAACAGTGGTTTTATTTTTGTGTCATCATTTCGTGGTCGGTTTATGGTGATTATGGTTGTACTGTCTGAATCTTGGGGCCTTGATCGAACGGACGCTGGGGTTGTGGGTTCGAATCCCACTCAAGCCATGGATGTCTGTCCGCGTGTTTCTGTGTTGTCTTGCCCTGTGTGTAGGTTGAGGCCATCTGTGAAGAAAAGGAAGAAACTTCTTAGGTCACTAATGAACTGGAAGGAAAAATTACTCTCGAATAACAACTTGCGTTTCTATGTTTTACGATTGTATAATTTCGTGACGAGCAGATGTCTTGCTGTTGTTCACAGTAGCTTACTTTTCAAATAATTTAGTAAATAAACAGGCATAATATAAAATTGGAGCAATTTATAAATTTAATTATTTCAGCTCTTTTGCTGCTGCTATATAGTACAGTTTAATTAAATAATATTTCGAGACATTATTCTTTCTTGTGTTAACATGTAAATTGTCTGAGACCAGTGCACTGATAAGAAATTAAAAGGAAAGAGTTATATTGTTTGCAAGATTTTTAACCCAGATTTGACACTGCTGATCGCCCGAGAATATTTTATAGTAGTTACGTTGTATTTTGTCTATCGAATGGTTTTCTGACTTTTACGGTCGATACCTGTTTAAAGGTTACTAAGAAAATAAGCAGCATAACTCTGTTAATACTTTTATGTCAGTTTTCACGAGCATTATTTAATCAGAAGAGACTTCTAGCGCTTTGTTATTCGGTATGAAGTACCACTATTCATCCATCCCATTTCTCTTTGTGAGTTAGGATAATGTAGCTTAGGCGATTAGTTACTAGTTTCTTACAGTGAATATCCGGATTCAGTCTTGGGTTATCTCAAGTGTGATAGATATGTTACGGATACAAAATAAAATTAAATTTGGGCCACAGTTTGTGTTGACCCCCCAATGACAATTCTCATGTAAAAAATTAGAATAGTTGCAGAAAGAAAGATAGTTTTTTTCTCAGCTCAGACTAACGGACTCTGAATTATTTTTATTTTACTTTTCATGGATGCTTGATCATTTATGAACTTTAGGATGGAAATAGGCCCAATTACTTGTAGAAGGTTCGATTGTTGTTAGTTACAGCGGAAATGGCTGTGAGTAATGAGTGGAAATTCAGACATATTAATATTTTACATAAAGCTGCAAAGTAATATAATTAGTAATATTAAATGATTATATATAATTACGAGTTCTTTTTCTCTGTGACTCTACAATCAATTGTGGGTCTTGGCCGCCTTTTTTTGTTGAGGTTTCTTGATATGTTAGTCATTTGGTAGGACTTCTTGGACGAGTGATCAGCCCGTCGCAAGGCCTCTACCTATACACAGGACAGCACAACGCAGAAAAACGCGGACAAACATCCATGCCTTGAGTGGGATTCGAACCCACGGTCCCAGTGTCCAAGCCCACAAGGCTCATACCTCAGACCGCATGGCCACGGTGACCGGCGTTTTTTTTTACAAATAACCAGCAGAAATAAATATAGGTCTTGAAATCGTGCGTGTTAACTTGATATATGGATAACTGAGTCAGTGCTGACGCCCAATTATTAATGTAATTGATGTCTCCTAAAAAGGTGATTACAAGAAATATTTTAGACTGGAAGCAGAATTGATTGTGATTCTAAATTAACATAAGGAGGGAATAGCACACCTTTATAGAAATACAGTAATATGAAGTTGTCGACAAGATAAGTACTGTCTATTAAAGCCAATTAGACGTTGGTGTCATGCTGTGGGATTATCATCAGTTCATTGCACAAAGCATATAAAATTTACTTGTAATGAAGTTGTGCATCGGCCAGACCACCGTGCTTCAATTCTCCAACTATTAAAGTTGCTTAGGTGAAACATGGTATTAAAGCTCGACATTAAAATTGTCAGAAACAATTTTATTTTTCATCGTACCTGTGAATACTCTATAATTCGAACCAGATTACTGTTTTTAATTACATGAAAATTTAATACAATTATTGTATATCGCATATGTTTAAAATTGTCTTCTTACTGCAGGTATCTTAGCTGCGTTCATTCTGCAGACGAATGCTGCCAGCGAAACAGTTTCTGCAGGTGTTCAAGGTTACCCGAAAGTTACACCAGAAACCCCTTTCACTTACCCACCTCCAGTGAGAACATCTACTCCGGCCATTCAAACAGGTTACCCCAAAGTTACACCAGAAACCCCTTTCACTTACCCACCTCCAGTGAGAACATCTACTCCGGCCATTCAAACAGGTTACCCCAAAGTTACACCAGAAACCCCTTTCACTTACCCACCTCCAGTGAGAACATATACTCCGGCCATTCAAATAGGTTACACCGAAGTTAAAACAGAAATCCCTTTCACTTATTCACCTCCAGTGAGAACATCTGCTGCCATTGAAGCAGGTTACGGCGGAGGTAAACCTCTCATTAATTCTGCTCCGGACTTTAGACAGGCCACTTTTGCTCACTCTTTACCGGTCCCAAAATTAATTGTTAAACCTAAGTCTGGACACTTTCCAGATCTTTTTATTTCCAGTTCACCTTCTGAGAAATTCCTACGTATTATCAAAAACCAACAAAATCACGAATATATCCCCGTCATGTACAACTCCTTTAAAGACAATTTTCAAGTTGACAACCATGCAGCTTCCAACAGAGAGACTTTCATACAAGGGGCCTCAAGACTAGCAGTTTTAAAACGGTTGACTCCAACACTTGAAGGCCAACATACTGGCGCTGCAGAGACTTCAAACATTCCACAGGATGACGGTCATTACCATCCACACGAGAAATATGGGGATGCCAAGAGGGCAGTTCCTGGAGAAGCTGGAATCAATTACCTAGTTTAATGTGTTGCTGACTCTGCATTTTCGTCTAACGGGAAGAATGAAGGTACAGCTCATTCATTCAAAAGAGCCTAGTTTGTAGAGATAATTAAGCGAATCCAATATGGTCAATAGAATTTTTAATGTTAGGAAATACACCCTTCACCCGAAACCAGCTCAGTAAAGAGATCTCCAGTATGAAATGTTCGTGAGGTGCATGAGATTGCTTACAGGATAGGCCTTCCTATTGCACGCAATAAACTGAAACTAAAAATTGCAAAGATGCATATTTATTTTCTAATATCCATGTCTGTCTGTCTGTCTGTCTCTCTGCCCATCTGCATGTAACAACTCGAGACAACTGAACGGACTTTGGTGAATACCCCGTTAGCCGAGACAGAACTCACGCCACTGTCACCATTCACAAAGGTAAGTGTCAAATTCTGATAAAAATGCCGGAATTGTTCCATTGAGTACATTCCCTTCCTAACTTATTATGCTTTGATAGTATGAATTGTATACAGTGAGCGTATAATTGGGAGGTCGTGTCTGTCTTTCCGTCCGTATATTTTCCATTTTCTAAACTACTTGAAGGATTTATTGTTGACATTTTATATATGTGGAGTTTAGCAAAAACGTTATCTGCCCGTATACAATCACTACTTCATATGAAACTGTCATCGAAAAACGAAGTTTACTAAAGTATCTCATTGTACAAGTAATTGGCATATGACAGAAAATACAGATTTGTTTTAAGACTTGCGTATTGTGTTTAAACGTTCGTCTGAGCTTGCATTTAACTACTTCGATAAAGCATACATTTGTAAATGGTTCTACGTTCGATTCTTGGCTCTCATTTTTGCTACGAAGAGTTCGGCTCTTAAGACTGATACAGCAAAAGAAACGAAACAATTAATTAACAGGAAGTGAGCATGAAGTAGGATTCAAATTTGCAGTTAGAACCCATTTTTGAAAATACGTATACACCATTGTAGCACACAGTGTCGGCCCGTCCATAAGAGATGCAGCACCCCCTATAATTTTTCAAAAATTGAAAAATTTATTTCTGTGTTTATATAATTTGTAACACTTTATTTCCTCTATATCATTATTTTAAAGTTCAGTGTTACAGCGCGTATCGGGGCTGCAAGGTTCGCAGCTCCTCTTGCTTGTCACACTGGTTTCTGTATCACAAACTGTTTCGTAGTTATTGTTAATGAGTGTTCAATAATTCTGTGTGCTGACTATTTTTTGTTCTGATAATGATAATGAGCAAAAGAAGTGTATCATAGTTACAGCAAATTACTATTTCTAAATTGACTTTGAGTGAAAAAGTGATGTAAAAAATCATGGCCGCCCTCTTCCAGACTTACAAATAGTTAAAACATTGTCAAGCACGTATGGGTTTTCTCCTGATGTAAATTTACTTTTCATTTATTTGTATTGTTATGTGTTGAAAAACTATTCTGAGTTTTCCCCCTTGCGCAGCACTACCACTACTAAGACTCACGAGCCGCCACTGGTAGTACATTAACCACTCTTCTTTACGAACAAACGGACAGCCATTAGAGCTACTACCCGGCCACTTTGAAAGATAAGAGCACTGAATCTGGTAATCACTGTTAGGAAATTCTGGCTGCGAGTGACAGGTCTTTCGCAAGGCTGTTAATCTTGTGTTCAAGCCGAACACGAACAAACAATCATGTCACTCTGTTCTGGAGACCTGAATTTCTCCAGCTCCTAACAAAAATACTAGATTATTAGTGTCTCATTTTTGCGCAATATACTTTCGGAGTAGAAGTAACTGATTATTTGACTGAATGACTGGATGACTGACTGAATTACTGGCTGGTTAAATGAATGACTGGCTGTCTGAATGACTGGATGACTGAATTACTGACTGAATGAACGAATGGCTGACTGAATGACTGACTGGCTGCCTGAACGACTGGATGCCTGACTGAATTACTGACTGACTGACTGAATACATGAATGGCTGTCTGAATGACTGTCTGTCTTTCTGAATGAATGGATAACTGACTGGATGCCTGACTGATTTACTGACTGATTGAATAAATCAATGGCTAGCTGAATGACTGACTGGCTGGCTGAATGACTGGATGACTGATTAACAAGCTAGCAGCTATCCACAGACTTACTCACCCAGGCATCTAACCAACTCTGTTATATTCCTTTACTTGAAAAGGTTACATTGCTTTCGAGATGAACGAAGTAACGCATATTAGATATTAGATGCGGTGTGCTCTTACAATCTTATTATATGAATTCATTTTAATATTTTATACTAATTTTATGTACATTTTGAAAGATTTGAGGATTCTTTATAGTAACTTCATGATTTTCCAATTGTAACAGCGCTAAAATTACCGGACTGATTCAGAACAAGCTTCGTATGGTCAGTCTCCTCGTAAATTTTATCGAATATTCTTGATATTTGTTTATTTTGCATTAATTAAAAGGCCGCTACAGTTGAACTAATTAATTAATTTGTATGTTCATTGATTAATTAGGCCTAGTAAATGAATGAATGAACGAGTATTAAATTAATCATCTGAAGCACATCGCTCGTCTAAATAGTGGGTATAAACGTCTATTTTTACCTGAAAGACAACACAATTTGAATTTATTACAGAGATTAATTCTTTAATGTTTTTGAACGAACGTTGTTTATTCTGAGAAAAATGGAACCCATCTTACACTCCGTGAGCAAAATTCAGAATTATTGAACGTTAAAAGGGGTGGTACCTACAGTGATAACTGGTTCTAAAGCTTTGAAGGTCTGAGAGAATAGCATTATAGTTGGAATACCACATCAGCAAAACTATAGGAAGTACATGACGGGCTTCCTACATCGGGTACTTGGTACTAAAACAAATTCCTCAATGCTGTTATTTTGAGCATACTAAAATGATGAAGGTAGCTGCAGAAAGGTATATTATGTTATTTTCTCCTGTCCTACCATTTGCTTTGTATCTTTTGTTGTTCTTTTCTTGTTTCCTCTGACTTACTAGCAATTTTGTTTACAAGCGTAGGTGTTTATATTCCTTATTTGAAGTAATCAAGTTTGGACGTTAGTTTCAGTCTGCTGTGGTGATGCAGCAGCTGGCTGTCACGTGTCCATCTCTGCTGCAGAACTTTACTGAAGTTGAAGTCCTTTCTGTACCTCGATGACCAGGAGTTGTTGACTTGCGACTGGTGAAATAATGTCGACTGCTCCGTGTCTGATAA